CTCCGCTCTGCTGGGTGCCCGAGCCGCCGGGAAAGCTTGGGAGTTCTGGCGAGGGTACGCCAGCCCTCCTCAGCGCCCTCGCTGGAAGGTGCATCTTTGCGTAGGCTGAGGGGATCCAGCCCTTCGGAGCAGTGCGCTGCTTGTCCCTGAATGTCCTTCTGCCACGGCGTGTCAGCCGGATGGTTTCCTTTTGTGGCTGGTTCACTGGTAAAAGGTGGGATTTGGAGAGAGAAAGATGAGCGAACATAAGAGTTAAGACCTTAGTCTACAGTGTTTCTGATAATTGCTCTTGGCGTTGTGTCTAGTTGCTAGTTTATTTAGGGAATTGAGCGTGGACTCTTGTCTGGTGACTCCTGCTGTCATAAGGCTTACTGGTCTCCTGATGAAGACAGCCAGAATCCCATTACCTACGAGGCTGTTGCAGGTGTGACTAGTGTTTAAAAAATAAATAAATAAATTTTTTTTTGTATGCTCCCTACAAACAATGGCCTTTTTAACAAAGGTAGCAGCATTCTGAAAATGTTTACTGCCTATATGCATCTTGAAGTCTGATACATTCTTTTTTGTCAAAACAGTTTGGGTTTTTTTTAGCAGAATGTAATGTCATGTAGTTACAAAGTTCAGTTTTGCAACACGCTTAAGTGAAGGGGAAGTTAAACAGTTCCGCAACACGATTTATTTGCTAAAACTACTTTCACTTGGATTAAAATAGATGTTTTACAGAAGAGTTTACAGACTAATATTGCAGTAACTCACCTGAAAGTAATGTGAAAGAGTTAGAGCTTGTACTTGGGTTTTTTTTTTTTCTTCTCAGCGCTGAGAAGCAGAAAAAAAGGCTACCTACTGACAAACATAAACACAAGTAAACTGGATATTTGTAGTCCTTTAGTTTTCAGTAGTCTGGTATTAGCAACACAGCTTGTGAGATCAAAGTTCTAATTTAACTTACAGCTAAGTAATGTATTCCTGTCCCTTCCCTCCTTGTTCCAGGTGCAACTCAGATTTTTATCTGCTAGTGTGTGGAAGGGTGTATAATATAAAATTGCAGATTGTTCAATCTGTAACTATAAAATCAATGTGATTAAGGAAAAACATTAGAACATTTTATTTAGTAAAACAGTAGGGGGAGCACCTGCATAAGAAAATATCCCATGAGAAATGGGATATGGAATGTGAAATTTTCACATCTCGTGGGCATTTCCCACTTAAATCTTGATGTATCATGGTGATCTGATATGTCCCAAGTTAGGAAACTTGAAACTGCTACCCTAAATTATAGCTTTTTTTTTTAATATGAAACTAAAACCAATTGACCAATCTTTGGATCATTTTGTTCAGAATTCCAATTCATCTTGTACTCCCGTACATTTTGATTTTTGTATAAAGTGAGAGCTATGATTTCTATTCTATCTCATGTGTCCAACAGCTCGCAAGTTTAGAAAAATACCAAAAGTGGGAAGACTGTGGTTAAAATTGGTAACTTGGTAACTTTCTCACCACAAAAATACTGGTTGCTATTTCAACATTGCACAGGCAGTGCAACAACTGTGGCCCTAACTATAGTTTAATCTTTCTACTGACTGTGATGGGTAGTATTTCCTTTGTCTTGTGCCCTATGATTTCCTTCAGCAGTCAAGAGGTTAATACCTCTTAAATCAGTTGCACCTGGGAAAATTGGAACAGAAGAAATCTAGGGGGAGTTGGGAGCAAGTGGTGCTATTTTGTTAGAGCTACTAACTTTAGGGTGATATCTGCTTGTTTGTGAGCAGCTGTTAGAGAAGTTGATTAGAGTGCTAGGTATGAGATATATGTTTTACTAAGTATGCAGGGTAAACGTTTATTGAAGTGGGTAAATGTGGTTTTCTTGTTTTATAGGTCAAGAAACCAAAGAAGAGCTCAAGAGACTTTTTTTGCAAAGCTGAAATGCTGGCTAATGAGCACTTAATTATTAGATTGGAAACCGTTTATAAAGCTGAAGATAAGTTTAGGCTTCTGAAGGTCAGATTTTCATTCCTTAAAAATTTGTTATTTTGGGGGGATTGTGTGGTAAATAATACTCTTTCTTTTTAGTAGAGTTATTGTTAACAGCATCGTCAAAGTGTGTCTGGAAGCTGTAAGAAGGATGAGGTAATAAACTCTTATGGTCCGGTAGAAGTTTGTGTAACTGATTATGGGGTCTATTCCTACTTTTTGTGGTAGAAAACCCAAACTGACCTTAATAATAGCTGAAAATCTAAATTGTAAGCAGTTTTCAGTGCTGCATGGTAACTGCTTCAGTTTTGTGTGCATTGTCTGTTCTTTGCATCAATATTTTATGGAGTCATGTCATTAATTATTTACTGATGTTTTTGAATTCACACATTAACTGTTCCTTATCGCCTCAGGTTCCACGCTGCCAAGACTCTGTTTCCACAAATGTTAAAACACGTGTTTAACTTCTCTGAATGTGACCATTCTTGACAAATTAAATGGATTTTGTTATACTCTAGAAGTTAAGTTGGTTTGTGATATTTTGAAGGGTGGGGGTTCTGTCAAGTATGGCAATAAACATATGTTCTCTCAAAAGGAGGAGAGTTGTTCAAATCTAGAAAATAATTCAAAATATCTTTTTTGTTTTGAACTGAGGAGATGACATCATGCCAAATAACCTCTCCATTTTGGGTTGAGAACTTTCACGTATATGCCATTGAGGAGAATTGATCTCTGTTTTAGTTAGCTGCTTGCTTGCAATGATAGTTGCAAGTAAGAGACGGATAGTACTTTCTTTCCACCTCTCATGTGTTGTAACTGATTATTGTAGTAATGAAACACATTCCTCATTTCTTGATTTCCAGCATTGTGAATTGTTTAGGCAGCTGCTGTGTTTCACATGAGAAGTTGCACTGGCATGTGTGGATAACAGTAATGATATTTCTAGACTTCTTTTTTTGTCACTAAAATACATAATAAATCAATGTCACTATCTCTTCTTAGAAGATGGGATAAATTGAGAAACAAAGGTGATATGACATCTAGAAATGAATGCGTTGGAAATAGGACAGTTAGCTGTTACTGCAGGACAAACCCTCGCTACTGATAAGAAGTTGCTCTTATGAATAGTTCTATAGTGGACAGGCTTCTTTTTTCGGTAGTTCTTTATTAAGGCAATGTTTTGTATTCTATGATTGTGCTCTTTGTAAACAAGTAACAGTTCAGAAGTGTGAATATTCAGGGAAAAATACTAAACAGGTAAATTAAAACAACAAAAAAATTAAAAGCATTAGGTAGGACTGTTAGTTGAGAAGTAACACAGTGAAATAATTTGATATTAAACATTCAGTCCTGCAAACTCTTGGGCAATTTCAGGATACTTGGCTAGTGAAAGAGACATCTGTCTTCCACTTTTGCCTTATTTATTCTTCTCTCACTTTTTTTCCTCTTTGTTCTTCCTGTTAGTGCCTTGGTAGTTGTGCTGCCATATCTCATGTGATGAAATTTCTTCTCCTGAAACTAGACTTTGCAAGGGAATAAAAAACACTGCCTGTTGAGGGCCAGTGTTGTGCTGCAGGTGTCAGTCTAAACTCAAACTTGTGTTAGTTCTGCATATTTCGGGTAATTTCTCTTCCTCTAAGGAGGTTGCAGGAAACCAGTTGTCTTAGTCCAGCTCCACAAAATAAAAACTTATTAACCAAAAGGACTATAAAGTGGTACTTTGCACAGTGATTTGTGACTGCTGGTTACAAGTGAGGCTGCAACTCATTGGTAGTGAATTCAAGTTCTGTACATATGCCAAAGATGATACTGTTCAGTGATCATGTGGAAGTGAGGAGCACTGGCCAATACCTCGAAGTCTGAGGGAGAAAACATGAATTGGCTGATGTCTTGCGATGTGTGGAGTATTCAGTGAATTACGCCTTACTGCTTCCTTCCATTTTCTCACTTCCATATGATTCTGCATACTTTCTTTTTGGAGAATAATTATTTTGAAAGAGCAGAGTTGTTCTATGAAAATGGATTTGTAAGTAATCCTTTCTTGATAGTCATACAAATGTGACATGAGATGGCTCCTCTTCCAGTGCTGTGCAGTGTTTTTATGTGTTAGTGTAGCTGGAGCTCACCTCTCCCTTGAAGGAAGTTTTATCAGTCTGTATTTGCAAATGTTG